AACCCGTAATATTGTGATAATTAATTGTAGCCGTTATTTGTAGATTGTTAAATAAACCAATTAACCATCTCTACGGCGTCTTCAGTAACGAAACACGTTACAATATATATATTTGGTCAGCTGACTAGCACATTGATTTATTGACATGGTCCTTGATTTGACTTAAGTAATACAATTTTTCATTTACTTATATGGCGACAGACGGACGGAATTTGAAGGAAGGGGATTGGAGATCTCGACAGACTGAAATCTAAGAACGGAGAACGCATGGTAGCGGGAAAGCCAAAAGAAGAATTGCATTATATAACTACATTTACCTGAGTCAATACTACGTTTTGTGAAATACGAAATATAATTTTCGTAGCATTTCTTAAGAATTTGTAAAAAAAAAGTTAAAGTTGCCCATTTCCTTAACTAATTAAGCACTACGCTATGAAGATGTTTGTGGAGTAGAAGTACAGACCCATGTATTTTTTACTTCGGCATTAGTTGAAGGTGAGTGGGTAAATTCGCGCCCCAGCCATTTTACACTAAGGTAAAGAGTCCACGTCATTCATTGGAGAGGAGGCTGGGTGGGCTCCAGAGCCGGTCTGCACTAAGTGGAGATGAGAAAATATTGCACCTACAGGGATTCGAAATCCGACACCTCGGATATTCAGCCCATAGACGGTCGCTACACCGACTGCGCTATTTCAGCACTCTCTTAAAGATATGTATAAAATAATATATCCTACTTGCATGGCGCGTACATTTTTTATCTTATTAAATAATAATTCAATTCAATTCTTTCTTATTTATATGCCGAGTCAACAGCCGCAAGGCCAATTACAGACAGAACACAGGGTAGATATAAGTAATTACATTATGGAAAAACACAACATAAAGTCAAAGACAAATTACAGGCAAGCACTGGAGAAAAACACAATAATGCAGACAAGTAAACAAACAAACAATAATAATAATCTAATGAAAACCAAATTATATCTGGTATGTTCCATATCGATTCACTTTACATTCGAATCGTTTAATGATTGTATCAATTGCTATCCTCGTATCCTATGCCGGTAAAGTGAGTTCCGAAGAGCTGTAGAGTCAGGACACACTGTTTCGTTTACCTGTGAGAACACTTTACAGCGAGGACGCACGATAACCGGCCGCGAAGCATTCCTGAATTGCGGACAATGTCGAAGCCGTGTGCGGAGCCACTAGCCCAGCCCTGTAGATTACGCACCGATTTCACAAGACTTACTGGAGTGGATGTGCAAACTTTTGTAGTGTTCCATGCGCATGTGTGGTTATGTGGACTTGCAATAATTTGTCACAATTTCTCAACCTGCTATATCTTTTCGTATCGTGCCGGGATAGCTCAGTCAGTATAGCGATTAGGCTACAGATCGGACGGCCGAAGAGCCGGAGCCAAATTCCAGGTAAGGGCAAGATATTTTTTCAATAACTTTTGGTACATCATGCATATCGTATATCTTACCAAAATTTAAATTACCGAACACTAAATCTATCATCAAAGGCTATCCGCTCGGATCATGAAATAATTGTACAGTGAGCCTGTCGTGATATTTACTAATTACTTATACTTTACCAAGCACTTAACTGTCACACAAGTCTGTGTTTGCCTTGAATTATAGCTTCTTTTATTGCTAGTGGGGTGGGACTAAGTCCCTTAGACTGCGGCCACTTCTGGCCTATTGTACCAGACCCAGACGATAGGTGAGGGTGAATGCGGAGCAATTGGTGGAATAAAGATTGGCAGGGGAAACCGAATTACTCGGAGAAAACCTGTCCCAGCGCCATTTTGCCCACCACAAATCCCACTTGACCTGACTCCGGATCGAACCCGGGCCTCTGCGGTGGGAAGCCAGCGACTAACAGCTTGAGCTATGGTGCGGCCAAAAATGAAGTGCCAACAGCACGAGGTGTTCCCAAGAGATCACCCATCCAAGTACTAACACACCCAATATTGCTTAACTTCGTTGATCGGACGGGAACGGGTGTTTTCAACATGGTATGGCCGTTTGCTCGAATTATAGCCATGCAAGCAGAGAAGTTGTCTGAACAGTACACTTACCGATTGTGGTGATGAGAGTCAGCGAATACAGGAAAGAAGACGAGAAGGACCACCTGTGGTGGTGGTGACTGTAGTATATCGATCCGCCGTTTCCGGCAGCACCTCCAGTCTTCAGGATCACACCGCCGCTACCATAACCTCTAAGATTCCGCATGAGTGTGTCTTGAAATTTAAGGACTTCCTGTGCAGCAAGCCGCGTCCAATTGTCCTTGTAAAGAATATTCAAGTCTTCTGTTATGCTCCACAACTTCTCGACAGTTTTTGAACGTATTTCTTCGCCTAATACTACTGATTTGTCACTGGTTGGTTTAGAATTCGATGGGGACGATGTTGACGTGGAAGGTCTGCCCGAAGATGTAGTATCTACGTTACTTGAACTTAGATGTGATGTGTCTCTTAGTCCGCCTTCAAGTGCCATAAACGTAAAGGCACCTAAGAGGGTATATGCTAAGACAAGGACGCATACCCCAAGACTTGTAAAGGCTGAAGAGGGCACCGATGAAGGGCAGAAACAGCAACAACAACAGGAAGATCTTCCTCGCCGCCGCTGTCGACTGTTGCCGTTGTGGCAACAGATTCCTCGCCAGAGATTACAGCAACCACTTGTGGATGCTGTTGATGACAGCGATGATGGTGGGGACGGGGTTGGAGGGTGGTGACTGTGGTGAGAATGTGAGGGATGTTTATACGAGGTTTGCTGATATGCTTGTTGGTAGGGGTGCTGGTGATGATAGTCACTACAAGGCGGGGAAGAAGGGGAACCGGCAGTACCACGGCCGTCTGATATCATGATGGCGTGCCGCCCGGACACACCTCTACCTGCAACACAAATATATGTAATTCCAATTAGCGAAAGGATGCAGAAACTTGTTTGAGTCCGCTGCCAAAAACTTACTTTGTTAGGTGGTGTATGGTTTGTTAGCTTATTGTAGCTTATGTTACAGGTGGTTCGAAGAGGGCTTCGCGTGGTGATACCAGGGAACATATCATCGGCTGTTATAGATCGCCTATACTAAACAAATTTGAATGTAAAATTGTGCAAAGCCAAGAGATTTGATACTGGTCAGCCATATGTCTGTTGTGGCAAATAAATCCTGCCCGATACAATACCAGCAAAATTCTCTATAATTATCACTTAAAGTTGCTAGTTCACAGTAACAGGACTGATCTCTACTGTAACGAATAAACAATTTTATAATACACGATGGAAGAAAGGCCGGGCCCGGTGTATTTTCCTCCGCTTCCATATGCCATCTACGCATGGATATTGCTGGTTCCAGTCCCACTGAAATGCACAGGTGATTTGTCATTAAGTTCATATTTGTGTAATGAAGGCAAATGCACATATTTTAAGATGTATGGGTCCGGAACTTAATTATTCACGCCACGGATCAGAATATGGTTACTAACCCTCTAGGATATTACAGTTAGACAGCTCTGACCGCAACTGCAGCGTCTAGAAAAGAAGTAGTACAGTGGATGAGATAATATGGCGATATATTACGCAAAAGCGGGTGGTTACGCATGCAAATTTGGAACTAATATACAGTAATATAATATAAGCTAATATCCGGGATCGTCCTACAACAATGTTAATAAAACCATTGTCTTTGGGCAGAGATCAACCGTTCCGAGATGCTTAGTGGTTTGCCCACTTCATCTTTTAAAATTTTGGGAATCCTTCCTACATATATACATACTGAATGGGCGAAGTACAGTATTCGCAATTACGAGCAATTGCTCTGCAATTGAAAGCAGTTTGCTAAAGCTTCGTAATGCAACCAAATGCATAGAAGCATCATCTACTGCCTACTTCAAAACAGGTGATGGGAAGCGTTTCAAGGCATCACTTCCGGTACACCATTCACTATGAGATCTACATAACAGCTGCCAGCCCTGACCCCCTCTCGAAACACAATGGCGTTGAAGATGAAAACTGCAATGCTCGTCGAAACCTGACATTCTACGCGGCCTATTCCCTAAAGCAGGAGTGTGATATATATGTCCAACATTTTAATACAAATTTTAAAATTATTTTAATTTCAAGACCACAGACACTATAAAAATGAGAATTCATCGTAGTTAATTGACTCCTTTGTTGGGAAATGAGAACTTGCTCCTCAATATAAAAGTAAGAGGCGAAACAAAACTTTCAAATTGTGAATGCTCTAGAAGAGTATTGTGACATGACACCTGAAAGCAGGAATAGTGGAGCCAGAGCCAGACGTTTGATGATTAGCAACGGCTAAGTAAGCAGTAGTTTCCGTTACAGTAGACAGCACGAACGAATCGCTACCAGATGACAAAACACAAGATTGTGTTGCAGAACACAAGATTCTCGTGACAACCTACACGATAACGGAGGAAGTGTTCAGCGTGGTGTTTTCTATGCGGACCGCCTAGCAGTCGTAAAGAAGAAGAGATGCAGAATTCGAGAGACTAGAGACCAGCCCGAGATTCAGAAAACAGGGAGCGGTTCCTCAAACAGACGTCGTTAAGAAGGAGTTCAATGCGTAAGCTGTTATAATCAACTGTAATTGGATTAGAGGCGTCCAATAAATCCAATCAAATCATAAAATCTAAAACCCACAAATTATTCGTCATGCAATCCCTTATACGTGGCAGTAGTGTGTTTCTTTAGACACAATAATAGCAGAGTGTAACCATTTATCATTTACACTAATACATTTTCATGGAATTAGTTACCTATCGCAGGAAACAAAATTCCATGTTTACCAGCATTTAGATGATGCAATGTTACACTGTCTGGAAGGTAAACAAAGGGTATTGCCAGTGAAGGTACGTACAACATGCAGTCGTCCGGTTTCAGCGAGACACACATGCAGTTTATTTGATTTACCTGGGATATGCTAAACAATAAGATGTTTTAAACTTGACAGAAACTCATTTGGCGTTCCATTTGTTTGGATATCTTGATATTGCTATCCTTGTTTAAAGGTAACTCCTTGACTAATCGCTTTTAAGGTGTAGTTCTTATGAAGCAGCCGTTTCAATAAGCTTATGTGCAAAAAAGCTGGGGTTAATTAATGACGTTCTGTTTCTTTGTCATGAAGCCCATCCCTATGGCTGCTTCTAACATATTGTCAAAACCTGAAAATACATTTTATACATTACGTGATTATTTATATTAAATACACAGAGAACTCCTCATGGATTACACGAATCGCTTGTTACGTGAGAGTTTATGAAAAGCTGGCGACAACGTGCAAGAGGTTCTCCAGTGGGCCTGTTTGGATATACTGTCCAGGTTGAGTCTAGTCCCTTCGAATCTTGTCTCACTTGCTGCAGAAGCAGACCCTCAGCCTCACTCGATTTGGCTCTTAAAGTGTACACAACAGATGTATCTGCCTTCGCAGCTTTCTTATGAGCAAGACTGCATTGAACTAGGCTGCATTCTATTCTATTGATGAGAAAAATATCTTCATGACTTCTTATTTTTTCGAATTAAATGGATTATTCATGGTATTGTAACTTTGTGTTGCCTTTGCACACAGAAGAATTACTTGAGTTATGAACAACAAAAGAAAAGGAAACAGTAAAAAATCAGGCATGATCCTTCTTCTAGCTAACAGATTCAATTAGGACATTTATACGATGAATTGGAGCCGGAATAGATCAGTCAGTATAGTGATCGGCTACGGACTGAACGGCCGCAGTTCGGTTCCCGGTAATGGTAAGATATTTGCCTGTGCTGCACAGCGTCCAGACTGGTTCTGGGGCTCACCCAGTCTCCTGTCCATTGAATATCGGTAGTTCTTACTCCAGAGTAAAGCGGCCGGGGAGTGCAGTTGACCACTCACCTCTACCTAGTGTCGTGGTCAAGAATATTTGAACTATACCTCCACTCCTCACACTTCTTAATGGTACAACGCTTAATTAATTAAGCACAGGGACAACTTTACCTTTTAAGTAGATGTTGGCCCATGAGAAAGTCCGTAAAATAGTAAAGTTATCCCTGTAACAGGCCGTGGAGGCCCATAGGGTTGTGGGTTGTGAGATATTGAGGTTCCCACATTTTCTAGACAATCGACCCATAGATGGTGGCAAGGTTGTCAGCCTTACGCGCCGGCTGCCTTTTACCCCCAAGAATATTCCAAGAATATTCCTGGTACTCATTTCTGTTAGAGGCTAACTTCATGAATTGAGTTTTCGTGTATATTACACATATTTAAAGAAGTTCCTGTACAAATCAGAGTGATGCTTCCTAGCATAATCCTCGACTACTCTCGTCAGTTTCAGGCACAGGTCTACTGGCGGACTGCAAAGCCATTTCACGGAATGTGGCAAATGATGATAAATAACGTAATGAAATTTCATACTGTACAAGTGGCAGGGCATTTCTGAACGAGGAGAACGTACCTGTTATGTTCTGAAAGACTAGGTTGCCTACAGAAAGTATGACGTACCATTGTTCGTAGAGTGGACGGGCTTTGTGTTTGGTAACTTATAAAACAGATTTTCGGGAAGGTACGCATTCCTGCGTCCAAATGCCGAGGGAGCTTTCTGTTGTGATAATATATGCAAATCAGTGATACACAGGGATACAGGAGCTCGCAGCTTGAAAGTGTTAAGCAACAATTCAAGTCGAAGCTTCGATTTGGTTCTTAAAACAAGTCCGGCCTAATTCTGTTACGTTTCTTCCATATGAAATACTCCATTCTACAAACACTGGCTGTTGAATTCTCAAACTCTGATTTATATTAGCTTCAAATGCCACGTCACCTTAGAGACGCAAGTTTGTAACTACGATCTCAGATTAATGTAGGTCTCAGTACCTCACAATATTGTACAACTGCGACATCGTGTCAATCCGTATTAGGCGTTACAGCGTGCCGAAACGATAGATTTGTGATAATAACAATTGCATCCTGCACGGAGTACAAGTTATGGGCAGGCAACGCTGTATATATACAATATATAGACATCTGCATCTCTGAATATATGTATAGCTATATTTACTACACACATAAGACACACAAATATGTATAAATACGTATGTGTGTGGGCATGTATACATGTGCACATAACCTACTTTATGCCCGTACCCAGTGGATGCTTCGCTCCCCTGAGAGGCACAGACACTTTCAAATTTCAATTTTGGCCCTACATGTTATCAGAGTGATAGATGGCGGAAGTGTCAGCAGGTAATATACGATTCCAAAAATTATTCTTTATCCGAATCATCTGAAATCACTTTTCTCGAAAATTCCTTTGAGTATATTTTTCTAAATTTCACGTTAACCAGTTAGAATGGACTATTATGTCGTTAAGTATTGACNCAGGACTGATCTCTACTGTAACGAATAAACAATTTTATAATACACGATGGAAGAAAGGCCGGGCCCGGTGTATTTTCCTCCGCTTCCATATGCCATCTACGCATGGATATTGCTGGTTCCAGTCCCACTGAAATGCACAGGTGATTTGTCATTAAGTTCATATTTGTGTAATGAAGGCAAATGCACATATTTTAAGATGTATGGGTCCGGAACTTAATTATTCACGCCACGGATCAGAATATGGTTACTAACCCTCTAGGATATTACAGTTAGACAGCTCTGACCGCAACTGCAGCGTCTAGAAAAGAAGGAGTAGTACAGTGGATGAGATAATATGGCGATATATTACGCAAAAGCGGGTGGTTACGCATGCAAATTTGGAACTAATATACAGTAATATAATATAAGCTAATATCCGGGATCGTCCTACAACAATGTTAATAAAACCATTGTCTTTGGGCAGAGATCAACCGTTCCGAGATGCTTAGTGGTTCTTCCGTTCGCAGGACACGGCGGGGG